AAATCTATTCAATATTCTTATTATGTTTAATGAATAATATTACCTAATGTATGTATCTTTGCATCCCAAAGAATAATGTACAAAACATGATGGTATTTAAAAATACTCTTCAACATCTAGTAAATTTATTAAAAACAAACACACAGACAAATATTTTAAAAAGTTTGGAATTTCAAACAGAATATGAAGATGCAAATTAGGCAGTGTAAAAGAGAGTATACTGTTGCACGATGGAGAAGCTGCTCAGAAATTCACATTTTTAATCAGTAGTTTCAGATTTTCAGAGTCTACCAGTCCTCACTGGAATGTTTATCCATCTTGACCTGTGAACACACCAGAACAGTCATGAATTAAATGAAATAAATTAAATTAAATGCCATAAATATTTGTTGACATACTATTTGTTTACTTTCATGCTTTTGTGTTTTTATTTATAGTAATAAAAACAGCCATGAACATAATAAAATGCTGGCACACACGGTTTAAAATATATTCTTCTGTAAATTATCACTAAAAATCATCTATTACTGCACCCCTGTAATAAAATAGTAAACAGCTAATTAGGGCTTTACACAACTGTCATTGAGCATTATCATTCCTATTACTCACACATTAGTACTCCTGCTCAAAATAGTTTTTTCTTATAAGTACAGAAACATTCAGTTCATATTTATTGTAACTACATCAACAAATCATTTCTGCATTTCAAAGGCCACACACTGATAAATCAACTGAGATGATTAGCTATATAGGATTAACATGTTTAGGACGTCAGACATCAAAAGGGTATGATTTGTGCAGTGCAACTGTAGATGATGTCACATTACACAGCGCAGCACAGAACTATGGTTAACCTCAGGCCAGTTCTAAAGGAGAAAGCTGTTCATTTGCATGGGTGGGAAAATAAGAATCCTACAACTTGACAAATGGCAGGCATTTATCCAGCATCTCCGAGGGCAACCTGCAACTTTACTCTGATAGCATGTATCTCAGAATTTATTTCCTTTTTTTAAATGTAACACGATTTGTAAGTATTTGATAAAATGATAATAATAATAAAAAATGGAATATTAAAAAATAAATAACAATTTTCATTGGCCTCAGATTATGAAAAGAATAAGAGTCTTGTTAACAGCTCAGTAGACATTTTGATTGTTCATACCTTTTTCCTCTGCTGTCTCCATGTACTCGAAATGTAACGCCGGGCTTCCCATATTCTGACGGCTTACTCAGAGAGCTGCTGCGTTCATGGGCAAAGGGATGTTGGGGGCCCACGCGAAAATCAGCTACAGCAAAACCCAGGTTAGTCACTCATTGTCATAGAACTGACACAAGGGATATGCAAGGCTTACGTAACCACATGCTGATGATATACAATGGCAGAATGCAGAAATGTGTTAAGAGAAAGAAAATTTTGAAGATACTGTAAATGACTGGAAAATTAGAGAACAAAATGAAAGTGTCACTGCAATGTAATCAGCAAAGAAATTCAGTAAATGAAATATCATTGACATGTTAGGGCACTTTTATATAAAGTCATATACTTAAATAACATATTTAACATTTATTTTAAGTTTCTATAATTCATTAATGTAAATAATTTAATAAAAAATATAAAGAAAACTGTAGAAAAAAAGCAGCAAATATTCATACTTGTAAGTGGATTTGCGATTCGTTCTTTGATGTCTTTTCCATCATCTAGTTTCTTCTTTGCGTCTTTTGAAGCTTTCCAGTTGATTAGAAACTGCCTAGACAGCTCATTTATTTGTTTTCCATCAAGATCTTCTAAATATCAAGAAAAACATAGTTTCTGTGCATTTCACTAAATCATTTTATAAAATTCATAAACACAGTACAAAAATAACTGTTATTAAAATGTTAAATATCATTGAAATGTTAGTAAAAATGATAAATACAATAACAATACAATAAAATATAAAGTAACAAAATAAATGACAAGAATAAAAAAAATCATTAAATTACATAATGAAGGACAAAAAGGTCATTCAGAGCTATTCAGAAGGTCAGTGATTCTTTCACCATAAATAATAAAATTTTAACTCCATACTAGGGCTGTCAAATCGAAAAATCACATCCAAAATAAAAGTTTGTTTTTAAATAATTTATGTGTGTGTTGTGTATTTTTATATGTATATATAAATACACACACATACGTGTATATAAGAAATATTTACTTGTGTGTGTGT